CTGTTTCTTGTGAGTTATCGGTGAATGTATTAATATGCAGCCTATGCGTACACTTTATGCACACCTCTAAATGGCATTGGGTCATGCGTTGTATGATAGACATTCGTTTGGATGTATGTTGAATTTCGTTCGCACCGTCAGGAGCCAATCGTGTTCATTGGAGGTGCAGGAGAAGGACAACAAACAGAACTGATCAATAAACGGAATATTATGTACGACATGTCAAGTTCAGTCCGGTTTGCGTGATGCTTATATTTAGTAGAAAGCCTCAATAATTCTCAAACCTATTTAACGTGCATCTGGCCAGTTACATTTCCAGGAATATTTCGCGTATGGGAGGTACACAGAGAACACCAAGACGTCGGTAGTGGATAACACTTAAAGCTCCGCACAGATGTGTTCGTGAACACATTTGCTGTGCTGCCAATCTCCTACCCCAACAACAAAAAAATACCCCAAGTGCCCCACCAACTCTTGCCTCTCCGGCGTGTTGGATTTCAGGCGTCACCGCGTCCTACAATAACGGTCATCATTCAGATCAGATATCAGTGTGCCCACATGGCTGCTGCGGCTGCGGCTGCTGCTGTTGTTGTTGTTATTGTTGCTGGGTGAGAGTGCAGGGTGCGACGAGGAGATGCGCACATGTGGTGGCGCAGATGCAAGTGGGGGTGGTGGGTGGGGGGGTGATGATTCCTGTGTCTGCCGCCGCATGTGGCGTGCGCTCACCCTGCAGGAATGCAATTCCCTCAGCAGGGCCCACGGCTTCTTCACGTGATCCCTGCCTCCACATTCACGTCCCGTCACCCGCGTCAGTGTCCTAGGGGCGGGTGGATTGTGCCACAGGCCGACAGTCAAGCGGCTGAAACGTTTCAGACGAGAGCACCGCGCGTATCCACAAGCATATGTCGCCGCATCGGCGACTGTGCCAAGACTTCCTTTGCCGATAAGCAGCACGCCAACAAGAACACCGGCAAAGGGACATTTTAAGCAAAACGAAATTTTCAAACAAGTATGATACTTTTAGGTTTTTTCGGTAAAGTCACGTAGGTGAAAATAATAATTATAATAAAATAAAATACTAATAAATGAAAAAAACCTAAATTAAAATAACTAAATTATATAAATTTAGTTATTTTTCATTTTTTATTTTATTTTTTACCTACGTGACTTTACCGAAAACACCTAAGAGTATGAATCCTTGCAGTCACGAAAGCTTCAAATCTAGAACAAGTATGAATTTTTTTTCGGAAAATTATTTTAAAACATTAAAAAAATATTCGGAGCGAATCTTTAATATTCTTAGCCATCATTCGTTTGTATGTTGATTTTTATTTACGTACTCAAACCTAAAAACGTAGGTGACACCAAATAATCATCGTCGTCGTCGTCATCTGCCATAATCAATCCACCGCTGGATGAAGTGCAAGCCCATCGCCAACAGATGAGCAAGAGTGCTGATGTTCATGTTTAAGTTGTGAGCGATGGTGAATTCACCGTCAATCTCATTTCCACGACGCGAAGCAAAGCGAGATGCCATCTCATTGCTGTTTCCGAGGAACTGCCACAATGCACCTTACGCTACACGGAATGTATTCGATTAATTTGTGTTGACATGATTTCACATCGATTGGGTGCATATACTTGGTTGTTTCGGTAAAGTCACGTAGAAGAGAAATAATAAAGTAATAAAAATTAAACAATAATATTCTCACGACGTTTCGATTGCAACACGAGCAATCATCATCAGGTGTAAATCGAAACGTCGTGATAATTTTATTGTTAAATTTTTATTATTTTATTATTTCCCTTCTACGTGACTTTACCGAAAGAACCAATAATATGAATCCCTGCAGTCACGAAAGCTTTAAATCGAAATTTAAATCGATTGGGTTGTCCAATGTTTTCGATTTCTCAAGTGGCACAGTCGGTTTTTTTGCTTTAATGTCTGTTTGCTTCAAATAATTTATTTCGTGTTATTTGTTTTACTTCTGTCATGTTGGTGAATCAGGTCAATCTTGAAAACAAGCTTTCCGGATCTCTTTGGAGTTCTTAACAGCTTGAACAAATACACTTTACAAACTGAACTTGACCTCAGAGTGTTGTCAACGTCTCTTTGAGAATCTTACAATCGATGTCGGATAATCACCTCCTTCGGACAGAGCAAGAGTTCTGTAAGGACAGAGCCCCTACCCCAAACTCCGACTGAAAATGGGAATCTCTGAGTGGAGATTTGCCTTGACTGCCAATTGTGTCACCTGGCAGGATTGCTGGATTGACATAAAACAAATGTTCGCGTGAATACTGCCCTCTGCTGTTCATATGTAGCACGCTTTTCACTTCCATCAAGTGGGGACAAGCCATACAGTAAATTGTTTACTGTAATGATTACTAAATAGATACACGGATAACACGTCTCTTTCATACAGCTGTCACTCCACATAACAATTAAAAGGTTTTTATTTTTTACACAACCATCAGCCCTCCCCGTAATCTCTGAAAATGCATCATATGCGCACCGTTGATTCAGTGCAAACAAACTCTGGACAGGTTTAGACATCGTGTCTCATCCTGCAGTCAGGTTTTCATTGATGCTGGTGAACTATCAGATGTTACAGGCAAGGTCCCTTCTAAGATATGGGTCCTAAATTATGAGACATTTTTAGTTATTATACTTTGGGAGTGTAACGATTCGCACCCGAGATTCCATCCGTTCTGACGATTCCAGATAGCGATTCGATTCCGCTATTATTTATTTAACAGTTGCGGGATGTATAGCGCCCTCTTGTGGCTTTAGCGGACAAGTGAACGCAATGGGACACGTGCTTGGAATTTCCAGTGAAGCGTGGCAAGTCCTCGCTTAACGCGTGTTCACACAAACGCGTTTTCGCTATCACGCGCTTCCTCCATTCGGGAACTTTTCGCACAACGCGGAACGCGCTTCGTTATAACGCGGAACGCACTCCGTTATAACGCGGAACGCGCTCTGTTAAAACGTGATTTGGACGATTTTTGACCCCCCCCCCCTCGTCACACGGCGTCACAAAAAGTCAGACCCCCTCAAATATGACGTCACAAAGCTCCCTTCCCCCCACCCAAAAAAAAACATATTTCCATTTGTTAAATAAAACATTCTTCAAATCGCTTTAAACTATTGTCATTGTAATGCATATTTAATGTGGCGCTGCACTCTGATGTTGTAGGAGTGTTGTTGTGACAATTAGTGTTGTTATAACAATTCTATATTTATTTAAAGTTGCGCATTTTGATGTAACGTCACATTTCTTACCCCCCCCCCCTCGTCACACATTGTCCCAAATGTCTGACCCCCCCCCCCTCCCTAGGTGCGTGACGTCATTTATGGACGGCCCCTTTCTGAGCGGTCGACGACGAACTACTTTCTTGAACTGCGCGGCTGAGCGGTACGATGCAGTACGCGGATTGATACGGTAACACGGCGTCATACCCATCGTATCTCGTCAAACTTTTGTCGTGAAATTATTCATGGCGAAATTGCGGCACTGTTCAGGAACGCATCGACCGCGTTAAACGAGGACTTGCTGTCTATTTACGTTCGCATCGAAGCTTTCATTACCACGCCGTCCCCGTCCAACACAGTCCTGCAATGCCACAATTTCATCTCGCTCCCGCACGAGCTGACCTCACGGCTCCATCTCCACACTTCTCGTCCTGTTGGCCACGTTTTCTCCTTTGACTGCCAGCGAATTGCCAAAATCGCGTGTGGTTTTATTTGTGTACGTTGAACAGGAGGGCCGGCGGCGGTACCGGGGGTAGTGGAATGGGCCCTGCACCCCACCAATTGTCCCTTTAGCAACCCAAGAAGTACACTCTCCTTCGTGGGTTCCCACTGACGGTGGTCTCCCAATACCACAGGGGTGACTGGGCACCCCCCCCCCCCCATCCGAGAGGAGCCGGAGCACGGCCTAAGCAAGTCAAGTCCACGTGAGCTGCTCGTACCCAGACATATCGTGCAACAGTTGTGAGGGTATACGAGGGGAGCGGACGTGCAGTGGCTAACGCTCTACGCTACGATCCCAGCGACCCGAGTTCGATTTGTGCTCACGGCCGATATCTGAACCGGTTCTGGGCCTCCCCTATGTCTACTCAGCCTTAAATGAGTACCTAGTAGTGCGGTGTGCAAACATCAGCACTGGGGATGCAAATGCGGCCGGGCGTGGTACTGCCGACGTCGTATTTATGCTCGATAGCGACATGTGCCCCAAACGTCTCTTCAGGCTTTTAGCCCCCCCCAATACGTTCCATTCATTGGCTACCACATTCAGATAAGCCCCTCCCCCCCTCCTCCCCTCTTAACTTGTATTTAAGAACCTGTATCTTGGAATCTTTCCCTCACTTGATACAGTAAATCTAGATGTGACGGTCCCACCTGATGACGGAGACTTGTGTTGCCTCCGAAACGTCGTGATTTATTATTTTATTTTTATTATTACTTTTATTAATTTTAATTTAATTTTTTACCTACGTGACTTTACCGAAAAAACCTAAGAGTATGTGGGGGATCTTTGCATCATTTGACCATACTTCACCACGCTGCTCAGTGGGTTGCCAGGAGCACATTTCGTGTCACCTCTAGCCGAGTACCTGACCGACGTGGGTGCCCAGAACCTGTTCAGATACTCAGGTCCTCAGCGGCTCTCAAACAACATCTTCAACGGAGGGCCCCCGTTGGGAGAGAGAAAATCAAGTCATTGCGCGTGAACTCATGACTGAACATACGATATGCACGATTAGATGCATTAATGCGAGCGTAAGAATTAATATTACAGAATCAACACAACGCTATATCGCTGCTGCCACTTTCACTGCTAAGAAATTCACAATAACATTCCTCGGGTTTTACATCTGATACTTGTATTGATTGCACGCACACACCGACATGTCTTGCATTCTTTACAGCCCTTTGTCAATCCTTTGCTGGATGAAGGCCTGTCCGCACCGTATTAGCCATGGGATTTGTTTGACCATACTTCACCACAATGGTCAATCGGGTGGAGGGTGAATGCGAGGAGGGGTTCAGATATCACTTCACGACTGACGTTAGCTGTGCCTGGGATCAAACTCAGGTCACTGGGTTCAGAGCACAGCGCGCTAAAAAGATTGAGTTTATTTGGCACAAAATTTAAAAAAATTGTATTCAGGAGAAAACGAATTCGCAGAACGTGTGCGTTTACAGGTGACCTCAAGGCAATCAAGGTGAAGGAAACTTCATCCCAACCCTCAGGAATAAAATAATGAAAACACAAGGGCTGCTGATTTATTACCCAGAAGACTGCTTGCGCCCGTTTGTTTGTTATTCATAGGAAATCCTTAAAACTCCAAAATACTGCCGTGGCATTTTGGCACGCGTTATACCGACCCTACCTACACACACTTGCAAACAAACACCGGCTTGAGAAATGCAGCAGAACAAATGGCGTCCGTGGCTGCCACGGCAAAATCGAGGGCTTAGCAGACTTCACATGTTTCTCTTTACGTGGGGAAAAGTTACCCGTACATATTTCAGGGGAAATGCAACACTGAGCACCAAAAATAAATGCGACACAATCCATATGCAACGGTAATTTTTTTTTGTATTTAAAACAAAATAAACTTAACAGACCGTGACCCAATCAATGAGTTTTGCTGTAAATACACAGGTGGTGAAACCCAAAAGGCGATTGGTTTTTTTCACACTTTGGTCTTTAGATTTTCAGTTATGGGGGTATTAAAATAAATTAAAACAATAACTAACACTATACACTTGTCCTGATTTTAGTCATTAGTTTACAAATTCAAGTTTAGTTCATGCTTCGTAAAAATTCGAACGATGAAAATACAGGAGGATGAACACTGTAAAAAAGCAATCGCACAATGCCGCCACACCAACTCGATGGATTCTTCTGCAGGCCCCAGCACCACTGCATCGTGTGTTTTTAAAAAGGGCCCTTGACAATGCAAGCTGCTTCTTAACCTTAGTCAATTATGCCGTCAGAGAATGCGTTGGCAACTCACAGTACAGCTTCTCTTTCCAAGACTGGCCAGGCAGGTGTAAACGTGCTGTGCTCCACGATCTAACATTATTATGCCCACACCAAGCGCTTGATTTCTCATGGAATATATTTAGACGCCCCCCCCCCCCAAACCCCCTGGAGACTGCCCACCCGAAGACAGTGAGTGGCGTGGGGGTGGCTGAGAGGAGGGCGGAGGCGAAATATTTTCCAGAGCCCAGCCCAGGACAGCTCCAGCGCTGAAATGAAACCCCGCTCACGCCAAAGGCGAGTGACTTGTCCGTGGATGTCGGTGCCGGACAGCACTTGAGACTTGCACCTTATCATCTCCTCTCTGGGCTACTTTCGCTCATCTGTATGTTCGTCCGCGGCGCGTGTGGCCTCCGCACGTTCGGCGCGGGCCTTCGGCGCGTGCCTGGCCGCAACGGCCTCAACGGCCTGCTGACCAAGGGACGTTTGCGGCCGGCCTGCCCTGGCTTGCCCGTCCGCCTCTGGCTCTTCTGCTGCCCTTGGCGGGAAATCGCGCCTGCGGTCGGGGGCCTCAGAGTGGGCTGACCGGCTGGACGCCGCGAAGGATGCAGCGCACCCGGTGCTGCCAGCCTTGAGTTGGTGGTGGTGGTGAACGTTTTGCCTTTTGACCCAGATGGCCGTGTAGGCTTGGGCCTCCGAGTGGGCGCAAGTTGGGGAGGTTTTGTTGGAGGAGGTGGAGGGGTGGTGGTTGTTTTTGATATGATCAGCCCTAAAACAAAACATCACAGCCCAGGCTTGTGAAAATTGTTCAAGACATTCCATTTTTATGAGTGCAAAACCCCAGTGTAGTGTAAGAACATCTAAATAGTACCTACTTTGTTTGGGTTTGAAATCTACAAGCCTTCCTTTCACCTGAACAGGGGCCACCGTCACCTCGCACTTCTTTGGGGGAGCTCTCCTAGAAATGGAATAAAAAAAAAAGAACCCACCTCAGACACGGTTGTCCTTTTTCCAACAACAACAACAACGCGTTAAAATGTGGAGCTGCGAGTGGAGGCGATGGGTATGCGGGGGAGGCACCTGGACGGGTCTACGATGCGGTAGATGGTGGACGTGGGAGACCGAGTACTCGCCAGACCCGATGACAAGAAGTACAGCTCTCCTGGAGGCAGAACACAGCCCCGTAACTCAACGTGCGGTGTAGGAGTCGCGGCGCAGCGTTGTTTTCTCATCGTGGTATTCATAGCACTTGTTTCAAGGACAAACGTTGGCATATGAGAAATCGGGAAGTGCTCTACAGAGTGCTACCGATTTTATCAGCCCTCAAAATCAGGACTGATCAAGTCAACCCACGACCAGATTAGACATTTGCAACCAGCTGATGTGCAAGTCAAGCGCTCTTACCGCAGAGACACCCTCCTGGATTTTTGACGCAATATAAACATGCGCAGTGCTTTGCCAATACTGTACACTGCTGGCAAGAGCCTCCCGATGCCATGTGGTAACGTGGGGGGTTTTTGGCCAAACTTCAACACACTGGTCAGTTGAAGATTCAAGGCAAGGCGCAGAGATGTTAAGGTATAGTTAAGGACAACAATGCATTTTGCCATACTTGCCCTGTGGACACAAGGTAGCCCCGTAGCTGCCTACAACACCAGTTTTATTCAAGGGGTTCACCCAACCAAGCACTAGCCAGGCTCAAGCCTGCTTAGCTGCCGAGATCTGACAAGATCAGGTGAATTCCGGATCATGTGGCCGCGGGCACAAATAGGTGAAAAACAAATCAACGCGGCACATTGGCTGGGTGAAGCCTGAATGTGGGAGAGCGTTGGCGGCAGTGTGGGAGACGTGCCTGCCTCGTCCTCGGCAAAGGAAATGATGTACTGGTAGTAGTTGTTGATGACGCCAGGGAACACGCAGGTCTGACCCTGGCCCATGCACACATCCTTCTTATCCCAGCGTCCGAGCCGAGGGTCCTCCTTCAGCGCCATCAGCCGCCTGCCAACAACGGCAAAACAAAAGTAAAAAGCAGTCCGAGAGAAACATCATATGTTGTTGAATTTGGTTGTGAGGTGAAGACAATTCTGAACCATTTCGGATCTGAAGCATTCCATTAAAAGAATGCAGTGCCGTCTAGATAGAAATGTACCTTGAGAAAATGGTGTTTTGTGTAAGAACGTCTGCTCTGGTGCTATTGATTTTGGGGTGAGGACACACCCACTCATGAAGTCTCCAAAGATGTAGAGTCCATTTAGGTTTGGGGAGTGGCACCCCCTGTAGATGTAGCCACCCGTAACAGACTTCCCCAAGCTGTGGTTATATGCATATATTGGAAGGATGTCATCTGTACATATACAAAACAAAAACAAGGCATTACAAACAGAATGCTTCATGACTGAACGTGTGTTTATACTATGACTGCGTACAATTGCCCAAGAGCAGCACACAGTAGCTCAGGGCACAACATCGGACCCCCGAATATTGAAACGGATGACGGCGGACGCTCTCCCAACGAATCACCAAAAACAAACGTGCCGAGTGTGTGGTTGTGGCAGAGCTGGCGGTCGTAGCACTCGAAGCCCTCCTTGGCTCTCCAGCCATAATTGCCTCCCTTCACGATGATGTCCACCTCCTCGAACTTGTTCTGCCCGACGTCGCCGCAGAAGAGACGTCCTCGCCCCGCGCCCGTCAGCCGGTCGCCCCGGTCGAAGGAGCAGCGCCACATGTTGCGCACGCCGTAGGCGAACACCTCGGGCCGCGCGCCCCGCTCGCGTACGAAGGGGTTGTCGCTTGGCACGCGGTACGGCCGCCCCACGTCCGTGCCGTCCACGTCGATGCGCAAGACCTTGCCGAGCAACGCGGACCTAGCGGGAGGGGGGAGGCGGCGGTGGTGGTGGTGATCAAGATGTGGAGACAGTAAAGAGCGTGATGAGCCTTGTGCTTTCAGAGACAAAGCAACGACGTCATGCGTCTCCACGTGACACCAGACTGTAAACTTGGCCTCGAAGAAGAAATGTGTGTGTCTCAAGCCAATGGGAGGGAAAGTGTAAACGAATGGCCTTAAACACTGGTGGGAACTGAGGATATTTTACAATATAAACAAGCAAGTGGCTACATTGAAGATATGTTCCTATTTGAGGCCTGTAAAAATAACCGTTGCAATGTTGGGTATGTTAGGTATTACACAAACACCAGGTGCTGCAATCAGGTGTAACCAGGGCTTAATTTGTCACCGAATGTAGTCGGCGTCGCTGCGAGCCTGGAGTAGGCGTGTTGTTAGTAGCCACAACCATAGCCGTGAGGCAGACTCGATGCGGTGTGTTGGCCGCAAGAATATTTTCTGAGTCGCCGACCAGCACAGAGCCAGCTGCAATGAATCTCTGGTTGAAACCACAATAGGGTTAAGGCTGTGTCAGCAACTTCACTGCACCGATAAACGCACGAGGGGCGATGGGTGCGGGGTGACGGGGTGGGGGGTGTGGGATAACGGACTTGTTCTGCGCGTTTCCGAAGAGCCCGAATGGGTCCCCGGCACGGCCACCATCGCCGGTGAAAATGTAGAGGAAGCCGTCTTCTCCGAAGAGCAACTGCCCTCCGTTGTGATTGGCTGCTGGCTCCTCTATCTCTAAAATGTACCTGTACAGACAGAGGGCTTTTAACATCGTGTTTTCATTTGCGTATGTCAAAAAAGTTTAACAAAACTGCACTCAATTAATTTTATCGTTAAGCGAACTCTACCCAGTGGTAAAATGTACTTTGGCGATGGCTTATAAATTGTATGTTTAAAGATATGCATATCGTTAGAAACTTTTCTAACAAGATGACTAATATAAATGTATGAAACCCATCATGTAAATGTGTACATCTTTCAGACAACTGAATATACATTGCTATTAAAAACATCATTACATCAGTGTCCTTTGCTGGAAATATAAACGCTATGTTCTTGGCACGCACGAGCATGACAAATAAGAGACCCATTATCCTAAAACAGCGGAACGTCCAAAATAAACATATTGAACGAAAAACAACCACTTACTGTGAACCACAGACTTTCCTTGTGCAGCCAATGACAGCCAAAACTATGATAAATACCCAACACGTACCATGCGATCTGCTTACCTCTCGGTTTTGGGATCGACATAGTTCATGTTGTCTGGCGACACGCGGAACTCGCTGATGCGTATCAGCTCTCTCTTGCGATCCTTGGAGAGCACCGAGTAGTACGTGTACATCTTGCCGTTCTTACGATAGTTGGGGTGGAAGGCCAGGCAAAGGAACCCGCGCTCATCCCCGATCCAGGGCGAGGTGAGGACCTCCTTGCTGACGTTGAGGAAGGGTCGCTCGGCCCGCGAGCCGTTGGGCAGCAGCATCCACACGAGGCCCAGCTGCTCGGCCACGAAGCGTCGGTGCGTGCCGTCGCCGGCGTGCACCATGGCCACGGGGTTGCGCAACCCGTTGGCCACCTCCTCGAGGCACAGCTGCATGCAGCCGTCTTCTCCCGCCTGCACGACGCCCAGCTCCGCGTTGAGGTCGGGGCTCTCCAGCACGGCGGGGTAGCAGTACTCCTTGTCTTCCAGCACGAGCCTCTTGCAGAGCCGCTCCCCGTCCGTCTCCAGGCGTCGTACCTCCTTGTCGTCGGTGAGCAGGCTCAGGGTGGAGCCGCACTGGTAGTAGAAGGAGCGGCAGTAGTCGGGGCAGAGGCCCGGCAGGGTTCGCACGGGCGTGGACAGGTCCTCGGCGTCGAAGAGGTGCGCCGCGTATGGCGAGCACTCCTGCCGGGGCCAGGGCGACAATGTGACACCGGCCTGGCTTTCTGCTGTTATAGCTCCCCACCTATGGAAGCCACCTTCTCATCCATGTACGTGACTCGGGCACAGGCGATGTCTTTAAGTCACGAAAGCTCACGTCGGTCAATACCAACGCTTGCGGAGCGCTCGGTGCAATCTGTTCACCCAAACAGTTTTGTCTGGTGGAGTACTTTTTAATTATTATCTTGTTTTGAATCATGTGTTGACATGTTTACGTGTACATCACTTTGTGAGCTTTTGATTAAAGGCACTAAATTAAAATACATTATAATTATTTAGGCGCATTTACAACTCTTATCTGCAGTGCTCAGAGTCTTGGGCCATTTGTATAGCTACAGTGCAAATGGTGACACAATGTGTTATGCTCGAGCAGTTTAGTGCCAAAGGTGATTACTTTTTATGTTTTCCATCAAGACAAAATGACATAAAGAGTGGTTATCGATTGGGTTTTAGGAAGGTGTATATATCTTGAAGCCATTCAGTCGGGCATTGCTTGACAAGTACTACACGTGTCGGTTTCACATCCGGGCTCGGTTTTTGATGTCCGACGCTCCACTTAAGTATTCCCCGAAATCTGCTTTCCACAAAAGTTATGGCTGAGGCTAACCCCATCTTGATCTCCACTTCACTGCCCCACGGCACATCTGTCATCAATCCAACACGAGTGCTCACGTTTCGTTTGAAGAAAGGTTTAAGACATTTCTTGGGCATATGGTTAACATGGTGTTCATTATCCGACCCAGAAGCCAGCACTCATTCTTAAAGCCCTTTCACAAAACACAAAGCTCGATATACTCCAAGGGCCAATTTGCAAAAGTATCATATTTAGCTCGCTTTATCACGCTTCCTTTATATGCATCACATCAATGCTCCATCCTGCGGTGCCACGAATACAAGTCGCTGCTGTGCATGAGGTCAACTCTCCACGTCATTTCTCGTTTCCTGGGGAATGTTCCCTCCTCCGACTTCCATTCCATAACCGGTCTCGTTCTTCATCTCTTACCAGGGGGCCGTGGCGTGCCCAAGCCAACTTACTTTTCACGTTGTTCTATTTGATTTGTCAATGTCCAATTTTCTGACTCGGGGAACAAGCACTGATTAAAATATTTATTTTGTGCACCTTGGAATGTTGCATCTCACTATTAAAAAAACCATTCTCCAACAGCAGGCCACCACACACTCGCCTGTTTCTTTAATTATTTTCATCCCTGTCCTTAAATGGCCTCGAAACACAACAGAAATCTTCGAATGTTTTTAAAACTTGTAAGGGGGAAATAAGTAAAGAACTGAACAGCAGAGCTTGCAAAGTTGGCTGGGCTCAAGCTAAATGACCCGGGCAAACAACATGCACAACAATAAGATACAGTATTACATAAAAAAAAATTTAAGTTACACATCTCACAGAACAGTGGAAAAAATCTGGTGCCTTGGGACTCCAAAATGCCCTGAGTGCCCTCGTCAATGGATGCACATCTGTGTGGCGAGCAAGTGTGAGGCAGGGCACTTATAACAAAGGGCTTTGCAGTACTGTACAACACTTACAACAGACACCTCCCCGGAGTCTGGCACCTCTCCTTGGATCGTCCGTCCTCGGAATGCAAACCAAATGGCAATGTGGCACTTCGTTTTTCATTTCCGGCTGCAAAGTGAACCTAGGCCAGTTAATGACGGGCGCCAATTGTTGCATAAAACGGTTTACACAAGGAGCCAACTCTTCGCGTGCTGCTTGGAAGAGTGGTAAGAAGGGAACTCGCCTGGAGTCTTCCCGCCGGTCTGTGCAGAGACTGACTAATTTACGAGCGGGTACAGAGAGTGCTGCTGTATTCCATATCCCCCGTGGCCTCTGCGCGAATTTAAAAAGATTTAATGGACCCTGGGTGGGTTCAGTTGAGGGCCAACGATTTGCCCCGCCATCCACGATTGCATTGGACTCGAATGGCCAGCAGGTGTCGTATTCAGTTCAACGCGTCGGTTTTCGCGACCAATATCGTCCATATTCTTTGGGTCTTTCGGTAAAAGTCACGTAGATAGGTACGTATTAATAAAAAAATAATGAATATAAAATCAACACAAAAACTAGGACGTTTCGATCACGAGCGATGACGTCATCGCTCGTGATCGAAATGTGAACCTTTCTGCGTGACTTTACCGAAAGACCCAAAGAATATGAAAGCCTGCAGTCACGAAAGCTTTCAGTCAATATCATCCATAAAATACAGGGTTTTTTTATTTGGGGGGTGGGGGGTGGTTTAGATCGCGAAATACGTAAATACGCGCTATAACATGACAAAAAACCTGTATTATTGAGGTCGCATATTACTCACGACAGACCTTGCCGGCTTATTTTCATTCCTTGTTTGTAAACTGTACTCGGCATCTGAAGTTCGCACGGAGAATTCACACAGCACCCACTGCTCCAGTGTAAACACTTTGCTCACGTCCGCTACCTCAATGGGGCTTGCCCTGAACACGCTTTTGGCACACCATGCACTGGTTGTAGGTGAAGTCACTTTCGCTTTAAACATGTGCTGCACATGTTCCTATCGAGGAAGGTTTCGCACACGCCAGACCTCGCGAATCACCCGCCACGCAACGTCTTATTCCGCGTTTACTCCCCCACTCAAATACGAGTCCGTTCACGCTGCACGCACCTGATGATTGTTAAACACGTCTCGCGCGAAGCAAATAACGCTGTCTGCGTTCATTGGGTCTATTCAAATCAAAATTGAGATATTTGTGTGCGTGCGTACCCGTTCCACGTGTCTGTGCGCCATAATTGCTTGTAGCGTCACGTGTTTAACAATCATCGGGCGCGTGAAGCGTGGACCGACTTGTACTTGAATGGGGAGTAAACGCGGAACAAGACGTCGCGTGGCGAGTCGCGAGAATTGGCGTTTGGGGAAACGCCCTTGCTCGAAAGTCTGGATATCTGATGAACAAGAAGATCCAAGGAGTGGTCTCCCATGCACTTTGACAAGTTGTCAGCACATCTTATTAATGCAAATGCTCCTGGTCTCTCCGAATGTGGAGACGAAACCCGATGCTCAATGAATGGGCAGTCACGACCTCAAGTCGCTGGTATTGCCCACGCACCCTTGAGACCAGGGGTGGGGAACCTTTTTTTCTGCCAAGGGCCATTTGGATATGTATAACATCATTCACGGGCCATACAAAATCATCAACTTAAAAATTAGCCCGTTATCTTTGGTCTAGTTTAGACGAAGACATTAAGCACGGCTGAGCCAGGTTAGTACTTGCGTCAAGAAGATTCGTGTGTGCGGGAGGTTCACATCCCTCCTTACGAGGACCGAACCACCAAATCGTCTTCGTCCCAGGCACGCGCCCCGATGTTTGGCCCTCGCTCCCCCTTTGATCATCTCGCTCTCTCTCTCCTCGCCCTCAATTAGACAATGCTCTTCACTCCGGATGTCGCTAGACATCCAGCCACCTGCTCTTAACTATTAGCCACCTGTTCTATTTCTCATCCAGCCACCTCTGTTCTTAATTATTACAACACGCTGTATGTTAACGTTTCTCTATTCAGTCCCCATACACGCGAATGGTTTGGAATTACTGCCTGGGAACGATTACTGTACCAGCTGTTGTAGACTTTGGCTGCGGGGTGGCCAGGAGATGACAGTGACAGCAACGGAGACTTAAATCCATCCGTGAGGAACTTTTGAGTGTGCGTATCCCTCGTGTGCATGGTGGATTATTCATCTGTCTCTCCCGAAAGAAGCTGCCAAACTCATGAATGAACGTGGCCAAACATCTCAATGCACCAAGACCCGAAAGGCGAATCTTGGGACGTAATTGTTATCATAACTACTCCTGTACCACCAATGCATCCAATCACATTCGTAATGAGCTCAGCTTTTGGTCCCTCCTCCACGTGCATGGCCCAAGCACAAAGAGCAACACAAACACACGGAGGAGCCAGAGGCATCACCTCGTCTCACCTGGCAGAGGAGGTTCTTGATGAAGGAGGCGCACAGGCGGTATCCGCCTCCATCCATGTGCCCCATGACCTCCCAGAATCTGCGGTAGATCTGCAAGTCCCTCTCCGCATCGCAGCAGCCGAAGCTGCCGTACTCTATGCACAGCTGCAGCGGAGATGACGGCTGGAAGGGCGGGCGGTAGTCGAGACACTGAGGGTGTCCGGTGACCCTCGGGCCGAGGCGAACCAGGGCGACCACAACGAGGAGGAGAGGCCAACGGAGCAGACGACGAGAATTCGGAGCAAGGCTCATGATAATTGTCTACTCGGAGCTAACACCACCACCACCACCGCCGCCGCCTTACCTAGCGAGGTCCTTACACTCCCCACGCAGATGTCTGCTCGTGCAGGATGGAGCTGGCAGACAAGGCGGCGTGGTGTGAGAGAGAGGAGAGATGTGTGGTGTGTGTGAGAGAAAGAGAGACGTGGGTTTGAGGAGGTTGCGTGAGTCTCCGTGGATAGCGGCTGGGCGGGCTACCGCCTCCCACGTCACGTCCCCGGGGAAACACGGCTCCTCCACCACCTCCTCCTCCTCCACCACCACCAACACCACCACCACCACCACAGCGCGCTCCTCCTGCCCGTGTGAAATTCCATCCTCCACCCTCCTCCACCGCGACACACTCGTCTGCTATTGGACCATCACTGTCATCGATACAATTATCCCCAATTATCACCACCATCATCGTCGCCGCAATAATAACAGCAATAAATAAAAATGCCTTCGCCATCATTGTCACGAATTGTTATCATCATGATTAGCAGCGGCTCGGTGCGTGGCCGCATTCCTGCGTCGTCTCGTGGCAGCCGAGTGAACGGATCCGACCGGACGTCCCCTCCCAGCACCCACACAGCGTTGCCAGCCGTCTGTGCACGATTACACGCGAACAGCACGGACCTTCTGGATAACCACGGAGCGAGGAGGGACTGCGAGCCATGAAGCATTCAGGCTCGAGTGGTCTTCAACACATGCCACAGCAATCGTGTTCTTTGCGTATGGCACAGCAATAACTGTATGGTCAGGAGCTCAATGACAATGTCGGCATCTGCTAGCACACGACGAGAGGGCTTCACGAGTGAGTGCTTATTCCTCCTCCATTGCAGGGGTTTACTCAATGGCCCATCGTTTGGGTTGTATGGCCGCAGTCGCACTGTGGCCGATCTTTAATTTCAGACTCATTGAGAAAATGTGCGCGTCGGCCTATTGATGTCCTGATGCGGTTTATGAACCCTTTGTGAAATGTCCAAGCCAGAAAGTGCGTTGTTTAAATCTCGAATGAGACGTTTATCCGAGGCAATCACGTTATTTCAGTCCATTTGCCAGCGTTCGTCTGGATCTGGGCGAGATTTTAAGATGGTGATAGCATAAACCCAGAAGGGGGATCAGGACTTGAGTCGGCAGCGAGGTACATGGATGAGGCTTTGTAAAAATATCCAAGTAGATATTTCTACCTACCTGACTTTACCGAATGAACCAGAGAGTATAGATATTGGTGTTAATCCAATGTTGGATTAACGCCTTTCTACGCTTTGTACAGGAATGTTTTTTTTTGCCCAAGAAAGCATTACCAAGTCGAGATACTGTTTCAGTAAAGGTCCTTCATAGGGATTTTTTGAAAAGTCCATCAAATCAGGAAGTGTTTGGCACGTGGGGAGTAACCAGAGTCCCCAGAGAAACCCCACCACACACACGAAACTCCTTCAAAGGTCTGCACAGATATGTTCACAAACCCACTGTCTGTACTGCCATCTCCTAGCTACCTCTCAGCGCAGCTTGTCTGGAAGTTTAACAAATCTGTGTGATCCACAAACCCTTGCACCCCCTCCAAAGCACTGAATCATAGGTGACACCATGCCGGTTAGAGGACATTCAAGGTACCTGGAGAAATGCAGTATGACCTAAACGCCAGAACTTAGGCAAGATCCTATTATCAACATTCATGCGGCACACTACAAATGTACACGAACACGTGGTAGCGAAGCAAAGATTTATTGTACAATGCCTTGATGTACATAAATTACTCATTTGAACAAAATGCTTGCAAATCTATTGAAAAATATTCAGCGCTGGAAATGGGAAATTACTGGAACTCAAATGATTCCCACCAACTCCACTAGATCTGAGGAGGCAGAGCTTCATGACGAACGTGGGTCTCTCTATGCATGTCTGTGGGTGTTTGTGGATCTCTCTGTTAGTCTCGGAGTCTATATGCGAGTCAAATTATTAAAACATATATATGAATCCTTGATTCCTTCCAGAACAGTCGTGTTAAAACTTAACTCCCACCATGGCGTTCCGGAGCATTCCGGCACATTTCCACGGCTGACAATATTACAAATTAAGTTGAAGGTACAATTAATCGCAAACCACTAATGACAACTTAACATTGATTTTTTTTACATTTAATATTTACACAATACAAAAAACTGGCGACAATGAAATGTAAGATGTACTTGTCAATAGATGTCAAACAAAACTTGGAAATTATATATCCCATAAAGGGTTCTACAATGCTACTCATGAACACCAAGGTCTGTTTATTTTCAAATTCTGTTAAAAGTTACTTGTACGGAAATAACAGATAACCCAGATACTGGGATATTGAGATGTCCATAGAAATCTCTGTATAAACATGAGTTCTTAGAATACTGTGTCATCACCATTCACTTGGCAAAATATTGATTTACAACAGTGGAAATGTCGAACAAGCTACATTGGCAAATGGTATACTTGTAAACGAACACAAAAACACACATTAGGTTTTATGCTTCTTGCGGGGTGGAATTTTCTTCTCTAGAGCCCGCACACGGACGCCGTATTTATTTTCTGTAGATGGAGAGAAAGGAATGGATAAATAGTTTGCAAATTCTCAATTTCATTTTCCACGCATTTTTTTTTATTTCTTTCCCCAAAGCGCGCACACAGGTAATGAGTCACACAGCGTGGACTTCCCACTTACTTGTTCCCGCAGACGCATTCACCACATGTGTACCCCAGCAACAAACCACACATGTTTAGCCAGTGAGTCAAATGAAAAGACCACAGAAAAAAAACCCACTAAAGAGACACGGGCAATGAAGGTCATACATGTATCAATTCAGCATCATACAAAAGTGCGGAGGATGTCTTACTGTATTTTAGAAAATAATTGCACGTGCAGATGCAAAAAACTTTCCCATTTTAGCACACTCGTGTACTCGTAAATCAAACAGTTGGAATGTCCACATCAGAGTCCGTGTGCAATGCTTGGCACAGGTACAAACACCTCGACTATATAAACAGAGACAATTTGTTTTTTTTTTTATCTTGGAAGCAAAAAATGACGGCCTCCGTGTATGTATGCATACACTGCTGTATGATGCTATGTATGCAAGTGTAGCACGCAGTCATATATCATGTACAGTATAGATATCCATATGCATGACACGTGTGTATATATGTTGAACTTCTTCCGCAACGTACGTAGCCAACCGTGCTAAACTTGTGCATTCATGTATACATTCAAAACTAAGCTAATAAGTTTCACAATAATCTACACTAGATTCCGTGATAAAAATGTGTTTTTTTCTTAATTTCACGTTGAAAGAAATGGCGATTGATTAAATGTAGTAAAATTACATTTACAACACCAATGTAAAAATGTTGCTCACACAAGTGACTAATTTGCATGACACACACCATGTGTGTTCATGTGTCTGTGTGTATCTTCTTGGTTCTTTCGATAAAGTCACATAGAAGGGAAATAATAAAATAATAAAAATAAAACATAATAAAATAATTCTCACGACATTTTGGCCACAACGCAAGCAGCCGTCCTCAGGTGAAGACCAGGTCTGTCGGGAAGACAGCGTCTGAATGAAACACCCCAGGCTTGGAGCGTATATATTTAAGCTGGGTTGGAGGGAACGGCTGCTTGCGTTGTGGCCGAAACGTCGTGAGAATTATTTTATTATGTTTAATTTTTATTATTTTAATATTTCCCTTCTACATGACTTTACCGAAAGAACCAAGAAGATGAATCCCTGCAGTCACGAAAGCTTACATCGAAATTTATGTCTGTGTGTACTTACTCTTCCCCATCAGCCCATTGGCTATAGTGGCCTTGTTGGATGCAAGGAGAGGATTGTAGTGGAAGTCATCCTTGGCCTGGTCCTCACAGAAGCAGAACCCTGGCCACCAGTCCATCCGGTCTTCCCAGGACTCGAAAAAGCAGACCTCATTCCCACTGTGCGGTAGTCAGACAAGAGACCATGCGCATTACACAGTGGTAGCATGGACCTACTGCATCCCTCACACTTTACATGTAGCAGTCTGTTCATATGTGTTGATGTGTTTTTATTGATCACCCCAAGATATAAACATGCCACAGAAATGCAGTTTGTTAAGTTTTTGGATGACCGTAAAAACATTAGCCAAGTGGCAATTAATACAAATAAGTCTGAAAGCAGGCATATTTTGGGAGTGTAGCAGCGTCATTTAGTTTTACGCATTGCACTACGAACCCGGCAACCTGAGTTTGATTCCAAGCTATGGATAACATCAGTGGAAATTTATAGTTTTGTATGTAGCCAACTTCACCCAGCCGCACTGATCCACACGAAGTTTCTTCAAACTCCCATGGCCAAATGATATGGGGACGCCTTCATCCAGCAGTGGATTTACAACCGCTGTGATGATTAAGTGTATTTCCCTTTATTTTATAAAAAAAGGTCCTACCAAATGTTTCGCAATTGGGGGGGGGGGGCGATAGTTGCTTTGTAGATTCGAATTGCAATTTTTTCTTCAAATTTAGCAAAAGGTGTACAATGATGCCAGCAAACAACGTCCTAACCCTTGCTAATGACGTCCACCGTAAATCAGACGGGTGAATATTTTTTTTACGGTTAATACAGTCGCAACATTCGTAAGGGCGGTCACTATTCGAATTGCGAGCCCCCCTGCAAACGTGCAACTGCAAGAAATGTTGTACCGTGGCATGCACGTGCAAAGGATTTACGGAACGCACTGCGTCTACATGTGACGGCATACTGTACTTTTTAATGCAAGCGCTGATGAGCTCTGCAAGACTCTGCCAAGGTCGCACATCCCTCTGCCAGGGAGAGTAATCCAGGAGGCTCATCAGCACAGAAATGCTCTCCCGCATCGTGTCCGTCCCTAAAGTAAAACATAAAATGTGCGTTACGAACAGGCACGCCCCCCACGTAGTATGTAACGCGCGATGCATTGTGCTCGCTGCAGCTCAGCGGGCTGCAGAAACTCACCACTTTCGTGCAACAATCGGCTGTATTCCAGCATCAGCTCATGAGATGGCACCAATTTATGCAGGACCTGTTGAAATTACACATGCAACAAAGACAATAAACGACATTTATGATGTCATGCGTTTCCCCTGAACACTTTTTTTATCAAGTATAACCAGTGATAGTGAACACCGATTTAACGACTCCATTGTTAGGCATGTAACTGTGCATCGATTTGAGATATAATCCTCCGTTCATGGTACTACATTATGATTGAATCGCGTGATAATTTACTATTTATGTAGATGACACGAAAACCATTTGCTTTGCGAGAGCAGCACATAAAACTGATGCTTGAATTAAACTGTGGAACGGCAGTGGCAAATTTTTACCTGGCCTATGAGTGCGTCTTGAAAGAGGGATGCATAACCCACATTCACCTCACCTTAGCAGTAAATAAAAAATTACGCAACATACTACACGGCAAATGTTCACAGTCATTAAAAAAAAACATTTAAAATGTCGGGTTTTCTTCCATTTGATTTGCAAATAACGGTGGCTTAAGGCAGCACCCTGAGCACGCCCAGCAGCTTCTGTTGAGGAGCGTCGTGTTGCTTGAGGAAGTTGTAGAGCTGGACGTGAGCATTGGGGTTGGGCGGGTACTTGTTGTCATACGCAATGTTCTCCAGAAGTTCGTGGGCTTCGTCCACGTTCCCGTAAAACTCCAACAGCTGTGGAAAGGGTGGTAAGCAAAAAGGAAGACGTGACGGAGGCCGTTGAATACAATAACGAAGTATATTGTGGATATGTTGCTTATTTATGTCACGTAGAACTGTTAATACGTGCCTCCACATATTTCGGGGTGAATATGTCCCACACCCCGGGTTTCTGCAGGATACTGATGAGGTTCAAGGAGGATTTCCGGAAGCTATGGTGCATCTCCTTCACGGCAGCCGAGTTGGTCTGCGTATCGCCCATGTCTGAATCACGACATGACCGTAATCAAAACAAATAGACATGTTTCCTTTGTGCAAAAAAAACTGTAACACGGCAAAACAAACCTTTAGCAGAGAGAGCAATAGCTCGACTAATGCAAAGAAATTAAGAACTCCAAAACCTAATAAAATGAAGCATGGAAATATACACGCCGAAACAAAGACAAAGATCCACCCGTACAACCTTAACAGACTGCTGGGGCAAGTGCTATTAGCGTGCACACCAAATGACACTGTACCATTTCCACTGGAAAGATGGTCCTTTTGCTGCTGCCAGTCATAGTAGTGAAGTAGACCGCAATAGCCTTGGATGAGGTCTACGAGCAGGACGCGGCTTGGCGAGGCAAGGTCCCTGTGCTTCGCAGTGAAGGCGATAAGCTCACGGTGACCCTCCTGCACCCGCCCCTCGCACAGCAGGTTCCAGGCATGCTCTAGACACACCTGGTGTGGTAAAGGGACCAAACAGCAGATCAGCTGAATGCAGACACGTAGGATGGCACGTCCCACTGTACATAGCAGTTTTAGTAAAATCCACATGCGTTGATGTATGGACTTCTTTCGGAGGTGATGAGAATAATGATCACTAAAGTCCCAGGCCGATCACTATGGCAAGCCGAACTTGTTTCAATATGAAGAAAACGTTGACGCACACTGCCAAGACACCATGCAGATATTTATTTTTGCCGTGTATACATGCACTTAGATTATTTTGCTGCTAGAATTTCCACATGATAAGCCGCTTTGTTGAGATATCATTTGTGGTCAAGTTGCATCTGAAAAATAAGCTAATTGCTCAATGGGCATTACCTGGTAAGATAAAAAGTATAGTTTGGTTTAATTGTTTTTACGTGATTTGTTTACCTTTTCTATACTGTGCCCTCCTATCGTGTTTTTGTATCGTTTGTAGTTGTAACGTTCTGACGCGCCGCTACTGGACGTCTGCGAAAAAGAGCTTCACAGCTCATCAGATTCCTCCAGTTGAAATATTCCGATTCTGTTTGAGTTCGTCGAGAGCGAAGTGCGCTGATCGCACCAAAATGCAAAGCGATGCGTGAGAGACTTGATGTACAGCCACAGGCGGGCTTGATGTCTCCACATAACACAGCTGTGCTGCTGGCACAAGAACCTTTCTCACACAACCTCGCTCCGTGGGCAAACTCGCACTTGCCTGGGCACCAAAGTGATACTTTTTTTTTCTAAGCTTACTTGCATCCTGCATGTCCTTCGGACGTGACCGTCCTGCCAGCCAGCCATCCAGCAAGCCAGCCTGACAGCCAGCTAGCCAGCCAGACTGTTTTCTAATACAGAATTTTAAGTGTTCATTATAAACACAACATGATTCATATACTGGCATCTATTCTGCTTTCCGTTGAACTTCGGTAAAGGACCTACTGCATGTAAATAGTGTTTGCGTCGAGTGTCACGTTTCTTTTAAATTTGAATTCATCAATATTGCGAGGTTCTGTTAAACTACCTTCAATTTTAGATCTCTCGAAAATGACTTCATCCTGTTTGCAAAGAGGCTGAACTGCTCCATACTTCTCTGTGGATGGTTCATCATCACTTCAGCTCCAGCCTTCCAATAAATCTAAAAGAAAACATAACATTTACTGACTTAAAGAGGTCATACAGCCAACATTTTATTTTCTGCTTAATGAAATAATTACGGTGTTTAAAATGGTAATGTTAAAGTGTAATATCACATGAACATCAGATGTCCTAAAACTCCACATGAACAAATACAAATATTACAGCATTATGTCCAAATGCACAAGATGACAAGCAGATATGTACAGTGCTAAAAAAAAGTCTGAAAATCAGAATCTGGACCCTCCATAAAAATGTTTAAGGCTCAGCGAGGCCTGGCTGTGTATGGTGGCACTTCCTTTAACAACAGACTCACACGTCCCGCTGGACATCAGCTTTTCACACGTCCCTCACCTCGGGTAGGACATTATTCCCCAACCACTCCAGGCTTCCAAGCGCAGGCAGCAGGAGATGAGCAGCGCGGACCCAGTGGTGGCGCAGCAAGGCCTCGTGCAATTCAATCAGCCATGTGCTCCTCCCAAAAATCCCCGCTGGCTTTGTTAACGTGTGCCCTGTAACGAATGAACACACCCCATCGTCTGCCAAGTGCTCACCAGATCCCCTTATTAGTCTGGAGAAACGTGCAACCATGAGAGATGGTGCCAGTCCTGGGGAGGCTTTCATCCAGCCGTGGATATATCTTGACCGATGGGATGTTTGCTGTTGGAGAGCACAGGTAAGGTGATGTGTAGTGATAGCACTAAATGGCATACTTTGCAAATCAGCTGCTGCATCTCATAACAATGGTGCCCTTTAACTAGGAAAACCTCACCAAGTCCAAGATAACCATATTGAGTACGTGGAAGAATTATGAACGCCCCTCCCATACTCAATGGGTAAATTAATTCGGCCCAATCTCAGCACTGGGGCATCTGAGCGACGAAGAGTACACACGAACATGGGGCCCATTCCTCAATCTTATGGTTAGGCCTCCAGCAGCGTTCGTCATTTTGCAGGCCTGGTGCTAATAATGCGATTCGGTGGCAAGATGTTTACTACCTCGCCAGGTGTACAGGAGGTCGTGGGTTCAATCCCAAACCTGACGCCTGTATATTTGGAGTTTGCATGTTCTCCCCGTGGTCGCGTAGATTTTTCTCCAGGTCCTCCGGTTTTCCCCACATTTAGAAACATGCGTTTAAAGTACAGTACATATTTGGCTGCAATAAATGTCCACGTGCTAAGCCACTTCGTTGAGCTATATCATTTGTGGCCAGGTCGCTTCTGAAAAAAATAGCTATCGTGGGCCTCACCTGGTGAAATAAAACGAAATAGTTACGTGGTTTATTTTAGTACAAATCCACGCCATCCCTCCCATCCCTCCCCAACGAAATGTGGCTGGAGGTGACCCGAGGCTACGCTCGTGTTGTAAGCCCGGTCTGGCAACGTACAGAAGCGATTGCAGGCGATGACCTCATGGCGCGCCCTCTTCAAGCCAGGCGAGCCTAAGAGGTGCTCCTCAGTCTCCTCCTCATCCGTCTCCTCATCCTCCTCCTCCTCATCCTCCTCCTCGCTTGTCGTCTTCACCTGTCGCTGATCCTTCATGGCCGAAACTGCAGTGCCACGCACGGGTCAACAGGGAGAGAGAGAGGAGGCAGCGAATTCGGGGTTGAAAAAGACAAAGCGTTTGCCCAAGGTAGTGATCCAAGCCCGCGCTGTGGTGCTCCTATTCTGGTCTGGACCCGGACACACGTCCACAATCCACACCGAGAGCCATAGCGCGCACATGTTCAGGCCAGCCTCGCCGAGTGGCCTTGTGAGCGAGGTCATTAAGCGACTCTGTAGAGCGGCGTGGCGTCGCGGTGTGTGCTATGTTGAACTTCTTTCGCGCCGTACGTAGCATATCCTGCTAATCGGAGGTGCGGGCGGGGCTAAGGCCAACAAACTAAACACAAAAAGCAGTTTCAGAAAAAATGTTGCTTTCAATCAACATTTGAAAGTGCATAGCTCCGGAACATCCGAATGGAAGAACGTTCCAGACGGCCGCCGAAGCGCATTCGAAAGCGCGCGACGCAGTCGCACCGTGGCCGTAGCGGCTGTCGAGGAGGCGGCTTGCGGGGCTGTTAAGGCTGCCGACGAGCCGGACCGCAGAGGAGTTCGCCTGCAGTAGACTGGGGAAGCTAATCGGGCACGAGCCTGGCAGACCCTGGGGTTAGCGGAGCGCGAGTGGGAGCAGCTTTTGTTGCTCCGCACGCAAAGCCAGGAGCCACTTCCGCGTGCGCGGGCTGCCACGTGTTGGATCGATTCCGAGAATATTTCGGTGGAGCGCTGTGGAATCGATTCCCCATGGATGTTGCGGAGAGGTCGTGGTGGGGGTCGGAGATCGGTTCAACCCCAGTGCCGAATTGTTATTTGAGTAGCAAAAGTAGCTACAAATGCTACGGGCCCCGGACTTTCAAGGGCCCCCGCGCTAAATGCGTTCAAGCTATTAATTCCGGTTCAGTGATGCTGCACTTGCTCTATTGTTATAGTCCAATATTTTTGGTTCTTTCTGTAAAGTCGCGTAGATGGAAAAATAAAATAAAATAAATACTAAAATTAAAAAAATGTTAAATAAAAATAATAAAATGAAAAAAATTTAAGCTAAAAGTACTATAGTATTATACCGCCTTCAACTTTTATCAACGACTGTGTGTTTAATATTAGCGATTTGTCGTATCATTTTGGTAGTAACGCAAATGAAAAAATACAATAACTTTACTATGCAAGTAAAAAAAATAGCTTTTTTATATTTATGTGCTTTTAAATTTAGGGCCCCTTTATAACATATGCGACAGGCCCCGCACTAGCTTTATTCGGCACTGGTTAATAATGAGCGAATTAATAAACTGAGCGGAATGAACGACTTCGTCGACGCGTGAACTTATCAATGCGCGAATGGATGAGTGAATTGGTGAGTGAAATAATAAGGAAATTCGTTAATTGAGAGGTAACTGAGGACATGAAGAGCGAGTTTGCAAATTAATTCGTAAATGGGTGAATTAGTAAACAATTTAAATTGTGAATCAATTGGTGCTGCTGTCCGTCGATTACCGGTCTGCAGTTTACCCCGACGAAACCCAGTTCTGCCGAACAATATCTCCCAGAAGAAGGCCAGGCGTGGCTGATGAGATGTGTAAAATAATACATGTACATGTGGATGGACAGACATGTGAAGGAGGCGTATTGTTCCTTATATTTATTCTGTTGCTTATATTCGCCAAAGCGATGCCTTGCTCATTCCCTTCCTAATCCCTCCCCTCGCCCCTCCAGTTCGTCCCGTCCCTCCCCTGTAGCCCTAACGTGACCCCCGCGTGACCTGTGTTATGGTGACTAATTCCTCGACCCTTTCACGCCCTACCATCTAAATTGCTCCATTTTGTGTTACCACTTTTAAAACTATGTAAAGCGGCTTGAGGAAAGGTGCTAAACAAATATTTATTAAGATAATGCTCACTTGGTAGAAAGTAATGGTTGTCAGAATCTTTATTTAGACTGGAGGAATCCGATGAGCTATGAAGCTTTTTCACAGATCCCCAGTGTTATGGGCTTTGTGTAATCATCAGGAACCCCAATTTATTTGGTGATGCTGCTGGTGCATTGGCAGTGGTGCACAAGCAAAACTAAACAAAACCCATTCTACACACTCGTCAACAACACTGCCTTAAAATATATACAATCGGCAACGTTTCAAGCAATGGCCCTTTTTCAAAGCGTGTGAACTCCAGTGCTCAATTTCAGCCGGAACAGTCCAGAACCCTATTCCGGAAATTATTTAGGCACCAGACACATCCATCTCGCCTTAATTTGTTTACATGATATCTTCATGGATATTTTTTCAAACCTGTTAATATGATTCATGGCAATATAGGGCACAGTAATATATGATGATGATTATTATCATCAGTCGTGCCTTACGGCATCAATGCCTACTCCTAATCCTGATTACCCCCATTGCACATACGATGTCCACTCGCATTGCGTGCGAGTGTCCAGGCACACATTGCAAGTTGCACATTCAGCACGACCAGGATTGACCACGCTCAGGAGCCGGATCGGCCTGGCTGCGTCCATCGTGCGGTCTTTACCCTACATCTGGCCTCAACGCCGTCTCAGCACATCTACCAAAATCCGAATATACGAGACTCGCGCGATGCCAGCTCTGCTGTAATGTGCTGAGAAGTGGGCCCTCCTGCAATCAGACTCAAACAGTCTGCACGCCTTCCTTCCGTATGTGGTGTAAGCATCAGCTCCTTCGCATCGAATGGTTCGACTGTGTTCCCAATGCCAAAGTCTCGTCGAGGACTGGTCTTCTTACTATCGCAACATCGTCCACTCGAGATGTGTCTCATCTGTTTGGCCACATTGCAAGAATGGAGGACGACTCGTCCCGCACGACATGCCTTGCCTCTATCCATCCAGGCGATGAGTGGATCTCAACCATCTCCGGCATGTAAGTTGGCCATGCCAGGGTCTATCATGACACCGGCCTAACATTGCAGGTGGTCTTCTACAACACGGTGAAACATAGACACTCTGGTTGGCACAGTGGGCCTTTGCCACCTATGTGACTCTGATGGTGGCGGGCGCTAACGGGCATGTGTCAGACCTCCCGTGAAGGTACAATACAGGTGAAGTATGGGAATTGACGGCAGGAACTTCTTGACGGGTAACACACTTTTATTAAATCCTTTAGGTATCACAATACAACGTGTGGTCTCTCTTCTTCCTCCGACACACTCCACTAATCTCGTGTAAGCTCTAGGCCTCTGGCTACACCCGATACACTTGACTCGTGTAGACCCTATGCCTCTGGCTACACACAATATACTCGACTCGTGTAAGCCCTATGCCTCTGGCTACACAATACACTCGACTCGTGTAAGCCCTATGCCCTGGCTACACATAGTACATTCGGCTCGTGTAGACCTATGGCTACACCCACTACACTCGCCTCTGGGTTACACAGAGTCCCGGTCCCCTTAGGACAGCGGGGCTAGGTACCGCAGGGCTCTAGGTCTTCATCCCCGTCTTCCTTCTTCGCTGGTTACACACTGCCCTTACGCCTGTGTGCATCCCCTTTTATAGCCCCTGCTCACGAGGGACGGAGCTGATGCGGCGTCGACGTGAGCGTCGTTCCTTAATGACCCAATCACGACGCACTCTCTCTACGATCCGCTTTCCCCAGCGCGTGTTAACATTACTCCACCAATCACACTGCGCTGCCACCTGATCACTCCCTCTCAGCGCGTCACCGCCCACAGCCAATCGGTACCCCGTAACCCACGACCCCGCGCTGACCCCTGATCCTCCACCGTCAGCGCGCGTCGCCACCTACACAGCCAATCATCACGCACTGTGCCTACGATCCTTAATCCCAGCGCGTATCACCTCTACATCACCCCCTCCCACATAGCTTGCAGCCGGCCCGGCTGTTAACCTACAACACAACATAACGCAACGCAGTAATAAAGAACTCCACATCCCAGTGTGCCCCGTAACACAACAACAACAACATAACACAACCTTAAATACGAAGCAATATACAGCCCGACGAACAACACAATAACAGCGAACACCGTAAAACGAACGCGCCAAGTGTCACTGTGACCCACGCAGTGCCGAGGCGCTCCGGCTGCCTCGACTCCGCACGTGGTAGGTCATAAAAAGTAGCGCGACCTAGCGCGAGTCCGTCTGGCCGGTCCGTCATATGGGACGGGACGCTGGCGACCGTCCGGTGTCTCCGGCAGCTCTAGACGGCACGGATCGGGCCTGGAAGGACCGGCCCCGCCGCGAAGATCCGGCCGCCGGTGGTCGGCAGCTGTCAGTTCCGAGACACCTGGGAGCGGATCAGGCGGAGACATGTGAGGATCAAGCAAAGACCTTTCCCCCTTAGGGTCGTCGGTCACGTCACATGCTCGGCCCTCACGACACAAGGGGAGGCCATATGGAGGCGAGAACGGTTTCAGTCGGGAGGGGTGGACGTACCAACGGCGTTTTCCCCATTTTATCTGAACGCACTGGGGGCGTGCAACCCGCACGACCTCCACGGGTCCCCGCCACGGCTTCAACAATTTAGGTGACGTAGCCAAAGGTGCCTGAGGGCAATGCAGCCAGGCCCTGTCACCTGGTTCCCAATTGTGCACGGACACCTTCCGTGCCCGCAACCGCTCGTTTGCAACTTGGCGAGCCCGTGAATTAAGCCGTGCGGCCTCCCTTGCCTCTGTCAGCTTATGAATATTGAATTTAATATGCTCTGCCAATTTCGAATTAGTTCGTGGTGCGGGCAGACCCAGCTGCGTTTCCATGGGCGGGTCGGCTTCCCGACCGTACATCAGATAAAACGGGGAAAATCCCGTAGCTGCATGGGGGGCCACTCTATACGCGGCGAGGACCCCAGGGACCTGCAGGTCCCAATCAACATGTGCCCCACACACCTGCTGGCACAACATAGAAGTCAATGTCCTGTTAAGCCTCTCCACCATCCCGTCCGTCTGCGGGTGGTACGGGGAGGTACGCACCTTCTTGGTACCCAACAGGTCGCACACCTCTTGCAGTAATTTACTCGAAAAATTTTTCCCTTGGTCAGTCAGCAAGCGTTCGGGAGCCCCCTTGTCCAGGACGTAGCCCTGGACAAAGGCGTCCGTCACAGCCGCCGCCGACTGGTTGGCGAGTGGCCACGCCATAGGCCACCGGGTAAAATATTCGACCCCCACCAACAGGTACTTATTACCCCTAGGCGTGACCGGAAAAGGCCCCAGAATATCGAGTGCAACGAGCTCGTTAGTGCGCGAGACCTGGATGGATTGCAGCGGTGGATTAGCTGCCACGGGCGGTGGTTTCCGTCTGGCGCACTCAACACAACCCTTCAGAATAATCACCACGTCACCCCCCATTCCCGGCCAATAATAGTCACGCTGAAGCAGGGCAAGCGTTTTGCTAACTCCCAAATGCAAGAGGCGTTCGTGTGCGGCCAAGACAATTTTCCCCTTCACAGCAGAAGGCACCACAATCGCGTGCCGCCGGGACAAACTGTCCCATCTCATTAACAGGCCTTGCTTAAGTACGTAGGAGCCAGTTCGTTCATGGTCGCCTTCGGAACCCCCCGTCCTTCGGCGCAATGCTAGCAGAGAGCTGTCCGCCATTTGGAGATGGCCCCACTCAATCAGCGACAGTGAGAGCAGCGAGTCGTGACCCCCTGGGGTAGCGGGACCATCCCCAATTGGTGTGCCCGCGGTCGCAACCAATGCCCCCTC